GCGAACGTGTATTTACAAGGTTGGACCTATCAGATAGGGGTTCCAGTAAGGGGGGACTTAATTGGCTATACGACTCATGCAGCTGGCGCGTTAGCAACTGGCGCCCGGCTGCAGCTGCACGGCGTCATCACGTGCATTGTGTGAGCGAACTGGTAGCTTACCATGGGAACGCTTCACCAGGGCTGTGTACACATGCCATTGAGTTTGGCCCTGACACTATTCTCGCGCACCTAGTCGATAAGAATCACCGGGTCGATCCGACGAAGCCTCTGTTGCTGTCTACTGAACACCAGCCAACTGCTCTAAGGGTCTAAAAACGGCCGAGGCAGTTGTGTGCTGTCGTAAGACGCTAATATTAGCGCGCTCTCTTCCAAGCCGACGCCAACGCCAGGCGCGATCGCATGTCACCCCACCCTATGGTGACAATTTTTCACTCCGTTCATCTCTCAGTAAATTTAATCTCGCGTACTCAATCTATGACAGCTACTTACAGCCGACCCTATTTTCCCCCTCCCCAAGTCCAGCAACCTCATCCGATCTTACCAGGTGGGCGGTGTCAAAACAATGTGTTTTAATTGTGGAACATTATAAGCCCTGTCCAACTCTGCTGCTTTGAGTATCAGTGTAATTGTGCCGGCCCGATGATAAATTGTCGAAAAGATGTGCCTGCCGAATAGAATTTTCAAATGTTAATATATTTAATACAAAAAAGCAAGAGAAAAATGTATCCCTTCTGGTATTCATTCAGCAGCAAATGACGTCTTGGTCACATTTTAGACTCAAAAAGTGTATAATTAGTATTAAAAAAGTTATTCTGATTCCCAAATAATGTTGAGCCAGATTTGCCGTTGCATTTGCATCTACCATTACAGTCTATGTGCCTATATGTCGTTAAGAAGATAACATATAGTGCTAGACACGTTGGCAATGTCTGTCGACTATAATGTATACTGCGTGCGAGGCCCTAATAAAACAACCGATTTAATGCATTTGTAGGAAAATACTATAATTCGCAATAAATAACGTTTTTCCAACCGACAGATAGTATTTGTTCGAGCAAAATTTTGAAGATGGTGTGACTTGCTACCTCATAACTAAAAGAAGGAACCATTGTGTTCATTTTGTTGATCAGATTTATTTAGATTTGCCACCGAAAATACATTTAAAAACTGCACACTACAGAAGCATTTATGTTTTATTGATGTCGGGGGCACCCGAAATTTTTTGCACCCTAATACTTCACGCTCAGTTCCTAAAGTAATATATTTTTCACAATTTACTTTACAGGAAATTCTTCTTTAGATCAATTGATTTATTGTTCTGAGCTTTCGAACTCTTACAGGAGTCTATCTCCAGAGATCTTTGAAGATGGATTCCTGTAAGAGTTCGAAAACTCAGAACGATAAATCAATTGATTTGGTACTCCATACGTCTTCTTTCTTGTCCATGCAAATACCTGGATTGCGAACCTTCTCATTCATTCGGAAATTTTTCTATGACCTTTAGGACAGGTTCAACCTTACATGGCGTCGAAGGAATGAGATCCTGGAGGGTCTCCAATGGATCTTTCTCCAGGTGTCCAACAACAGTTTTATGAGCAGGCAGTTTCTCCTCAACCATAATGCCAAGAATTGACCATAAATTTTAAATGGGATTCAAGTCAGGACTATTTGCTAACCACATCTCTTTCCTCCAGAAATGCGGAAGTTTCTCGAACGGCACCCTCTGGATCTGCAAAGCTTTATGGGTTGTGGCTCCGTCTTGAATAATCGTTGACATGTCTGGGGTAAGTTTATTCTCAAATTTGACCTGCTCAGATGATTTATTTCGGGTGTTTTATTAACTGGTTTTGCTGTAGGACCTCCTCTCTATAATATTCACAATTCACTCGTTGGCCCTGTGGTAAACTGCTGGAAATGTATCCTTACGGCCAATCAAAAGAAATAACATGCATCGACTGGCTTGAGCTTACGTGCCCCCGAAGCGGCGAGTGGACAGGAAACCGTAGCACGCACAGGACAATGTGAGCCCCTTGCAGCGATTGACAAAGAAGGAACAGGAGAGTTTATCGTGCGCGAGTACACAAAGGCTTAGCGAGCGAAGACAAGATGAAACAGCGCATAGGCGCTGGGCGCGAACTACCATAAATTTTCGATTATACCTTTTCTGTTGTACTGAACGGTAACCATTGTGTACAAAGTGTGTTTACAAATAAATCGCCAACTCATGAGGTTGAGGAACACCTTGAAAATTAGTGCTGATTATTTCGTTTTAAGGAAAGTAGTGCACTTTTAAAAGGTGCAAATAATTTTTGAAATAGACCCCAAGAAAAAAAGTATTACAATTCCATTTACATAGAAATTCCTAATATGAAACGCACAATAAAATTTTGGTTTACTCTTCTGGTAACTGACTACAGCATGTAGCAAGTATGTAGAAGATCGCTCGGTCACTCGAAGCATAACTTTGTTCTCTCAAGTGGCATTTCAACACTGCGTGTCCTTACGCTTAATTAGCGATCGAAGCATCGTACGCATGCATAATGTTGCCATAACAGCCTCCACGAATTTTCCCCCATGCGATATGGGAGTAACAGCTAGAAAACAAAGCGCTATGCGGAATAAATTCTGGTTTCAGCGACCCAATAAACTTCCGTCGTAAGGATCACATTTTTTTTAAATTTCTCTACTGTCAGTCATTAGATATTTTTTAATTGAATGAATAAATGTTTGTTTATATAATTATTTTCGCACTTACTCGGTTCTTCTGCTTGATACCTGCCTTCCCCGAAAAGAGAACATGGATCATTTCAATATCGCCTTTTAAAGCAGCCGTGATCATTGGGCAGTTTGTTTGCTGATAAAAAGAATGATGTGAAGAACGGTTAGAAGTATTCCATAAACGGTGATTTTACTTTAAAAACAGTGAAATAAACTGACTGGTGATCTGAGATTGGGTTTTGCTCCGTGTGCCAAGAGAATTTCTGCACAGTCGTAATGAAGCTCCTCGACGGCATACTGTAGAGGCGTCATCCCATCGTCATCCTGAAAATTTTAGCAGCAAAAAGTGCTTGGAAAGCTCATTTAATTATTATAGCACTGAATGCAGCCAAACAAACAACTCGGTGGTTTATCTTGAAGTCAGCGCTCAGTTTAAAGTATACTTAGGGTGCAACACATTGGTGCTTAATCAAACCTGACCTTATTTAATTCTCATTTCTAAAGGGCAAAACACGATGACAAGGTGGTCATTTCCGGCTTAATAGACGTACTCCAATGGTTGGAGCGTTCGACGTCTAATAAAAAGGTCGCGAATTCGAGCCTTTGGTGATGTACTACTTGCAGTTGGAGTTGACTGGCTGAGGACAGATAATAAGCCAATCTCCATTTTCTTTGCTGAAAGTGTTAGCTGTTCAGACTAGTAGCCACTGTACGACTTCTGACGGAGCTCAAGAATGAGTTCCCAGGACAGAACGGGACAAGTGAGTTCCGTTAGCTATTGGTGAACGTTAATCAACAAGTGGCAAAATACTGAGACATTTGAACTGAAGCAAACAAAAAGTCTTGAATGACATAAAGTTGGCAAGCATGTCAAGTTCTGGCCACCGAAACAGGTAATAATTAGTTCCAAGCGAACAAATAAGGCGGAATTGTTTGGATCCAAAAATCTGCGCGACCATTCATCAGCTGCAGCCTGTCGCTGTACCAGATTAATAACGAATGAGGGAAGATAGCAATTTCTGTTCGCACAGAAAAAAAATTAATGCTACACAGAATGGTCATAGTATATTACTGTGAAGGTGAATCAGTAGAAGTAGTAACCTAGAACACCTTATAGGAAGCCAAAATGAGCAAAAAATGCAAAAGCAAAAGGGGGACTGGGACATTTGTAACTCTGAATGTTATCAAGTCAGAATTCAGGTTAAACACATGCTCCACCTAGTTACATGTGTTCGGTTTCACCCTCCGTAGCCTCCATGTAGTGCAAGAAACGAATTGTTTGTACCCAAAGAATTATTCAGCAGAATGTTTTGGGGTCAACAGACCTCCCCTCTTTGGCTTAAAATTGCTTACCTACTTTTGCTTCCAATTTGGTGTTGTAGGTTGTTTATCCTAATAATTAGCCTACACTGCAATATACTATGACCTTTCGTTTAAGCTTATTTTTTTCTGTACGGATTCCAATTGTTGTATTCTGTGACGGACAGCCAATAATGTTGTCAGGTTTCTTTGTTCAGTGCTCGTTGCTTCGACATCATGTGACTTCGCAGAGAGCACATTCCGCCTCGCTGACCTGCAGACCTTCAACCGACTTCCCCGCGCGCACACGCGCGTCCAGATGGTCAAAGGGCCACTTGAACACGCCACCCCTCGGCCTCTATACGCGACGCCCATTCGGGCAATGCAAAACACCAACCGCACACTATTTGAATTTGCTTCACAATCAGGTAAAAGCACCTGTCACTGCTCTTACACGAACACTTAAGCCTGACCGGACGCACTTACACGCCAACCCTGCCTGAAAAAACAACCCAGGTTCCTGTGTAGAATAAAGCCTTCACTCTGGTGCTTTCCGCTTCCTTACATATAATCTGGGATTTTGACCCGATCATTTTAAGCAAAACCACTACCTAGCCTCTAAAATTCTCTCATTGCTTATTCCTATTAAGCAACAACATTTTGCAACTGATGAGCAGTCGCGCAATTTTTGGTATTCATAATGTCCGCATTATTTGTATACCCTAAATTTGTATCGGATAAAAAAAGATTTTGAACTCACAAATTCATTAATAAGTGTTGAGGCAGCAGGATTTTCACAGAGAACCGACACCACCTCTGAGGATCCGGACAGAACGGCCATGTGCAGCAGATTTTTTTGGTGCTTTATTAAGTAAAATGAGCAAGCGTCGTGATTAGATGTACAAAGTGGTCATTAATTTGACTTGTTATCACCAAAAGTTGACCTACCTGGTCTATGTCCTCTTCAATTCTGCACAACTTCGAGAGCACTGTTGTTGATAAAACGCTGCCGCTACTGGCTGCAATCATCAGCGGCGTCGTGTCATCCTGCACGGGATTGAAGTTGAGGATTACGGCAAAATTATACTTACATTATCAAGCTCGGTGAAGTAAGTTATTATCTTCTGGCGTAGCAGAGCCTCCATTGTCTTTATAGCATCGGCCTTGGCGATGACGTGCAGCAGCGAATATCCGCGCTAAAATACACATTGTTGACTACTGATACCTGTTTAAGTAAAAATTGATTGCTATATTTAAATAAGTACATACTTTGGTTCGTCGCCGTGGATCCGCGCCCGCTTCGATTAGATAGAGCACAACGTCCACACGATCCTTGAATGCGGCCCAATAGAGGGGAGTCATTCCATGCTAAATGAGATGGAGTTAAGAAGTTTAAAGAATGATATTCAAATTCTATAAATATTACACTTTTTAAACTGGGAAAGTCAAGTCGGTCAACATATATTTTGGCCGTAAAATGAGGTATGTGGACACATTTATGGCTGG